CTGAATATGGCATGATCCTGATCTGACCCTGATCTGACCCTGACCTGACCCCGACCCTGCCCCTGACCTTGACTCTGACCTGTCACAGACAGCGGCCTGCTGGAGTACCTGGAGCGTCAGTTGGACCCCCCACTGACGGAGACCGATCTGCTCGTTCAGCGGGATGTCCTGCTCAACATCCACTCACCGAAGGCGAACGGCGTCATCAGCGACATCGTCAGCCAGCTGCTGCACAGGGTGGGTCAGAGGCGAACGATCTACCACCGAACAATACAGACAGATAGGCTCATAGACACACAGGCAGGCACACAGGCGCATAGACACATAGGCTTACAGGCACATAGACACACAGACGTACAGACCCATAGGCACACAGGCACAGACTCACAGTCTCACTCACAGGCACGCAGGCTCACAGTGTCACAGACTCACAGGCTGTTCCTGAGCTATACAGGCTCCGAGCTCAGAGTGGTCCCCACAGCGAGAAATGCCGCACTTTGGTTTTGTTACTAGGCTACAACTACGGTATATGTGATGTTCTCGGGCCAGGCTGTAACCTTGAAATGACATGATATTTGTACCTTAAAAATGAGGCTGCATATATCATAGTAATATGTTGTCGCTGGGTGTTTAAATTTGCTTGTTACCTCGTTGTTCTATTCGCTTGACGTTTAGAGCGCACTGTGCATCAGTTATCGCCGGAAATAACGCTTAACTTGGAGTCTGGAGATGCTCGAGTAGGATGCCGAGTCCAATGTAGCCTGTCCGGAATAGTAAAATGCAGGGGTTGGACTTCGAGTGATGGGCTGATAGAAATTTTTACGTCACCCCCAGCTTTATTTTTCCTACTACAATGATTCTTTCAATACAATACAACACATTCATGTCATCGGAATTAAAGTAAATCACCCCTGCTTGACAAATACCAAAGAAATGCGTCAAGTTGGTTATGTTCTGTGTTTACTTAACAAATCGCTCTGCGACACTTCTATAAGACAAAAGAAAATGCACCGCAACCGATGCTCTCTTGCGATATACATATTATGCCTCATTCAGCGTATTATAGATGAGTTATTAATCTTTCCTGGGAGACCTTCATTTTCAGCACGGTTAGTTTCATACAATCATTTATCAAGCTTGTCACGCAATCAAATCCCATGATAAATTACAATACAGGGCGTAAAATTTGTTCTCTATGTTTCCGAGGTGTGTTCAGAATATCTCAGCGCGCTACTTTTAGAATCTGGCTATCCACCAGATCATTGCTGTAGCCGGCCAGAGCTAATGGGTGCTTAGCCAGATTGCCGACTTGCAATATATTACCTTGCGACTTAATTTAATTTACCGCTAGATACCAGAGCCACAGACGCGCCTGGCGCGCCGGCCCACCAGATGTAGTGACCTGTGGTGGCTGGGGAGCAGGGAGGGTGGTCGGGACTCGGGAGTCGACCTCACTAGGCAGACCACGGAGCGTATTACAGGGTTTGGTCTGGGCGTGTGTGTTAGGGGGGGGGGGTAAAGAGTGTGTGGAGAAAACTGATTGTTCATTCGGGGAAAACAGGGCATACGATTGCGATAGATAACAGGAAGCCGTGTCACAATTATAACGGATGTAGCGAGGGATTTTCCTGCACTATATTTGGATAAGTGACAGTAACAGTTATAATGAGATCAAATGTCGTTTTTTATCAATTGTTTGCAAACGTATTGACGCATGCATTGAGGAATCAATGACACTTATACAGGGTGGGATGGACAAATTGAGACACATTGTGTTTATCAATTCAAATGCAGTTTGCCGGTTAACCAAAAAACAATCAGTCAGAAATATATTTATTTCGTGACACTGGCATCGTTGTAGAGCATTATCACTCGATAAACCCTCCCTCTGCCGCCACCATCCTCTCCAGCCGGCTCCTGAACCTGCCGCACGCGCGCTTCACGACAGCTCGGCCCATGGCCGCCATCGTCTCCTCGATGGTCCGCTTCAGAGCCTCCCTGGAGGGGTGGGGGCTCTTGTTGGAGACCCTCTCAACTTCGCCCCAGACAAAGTAGTCCAGGGGGTTGAGGTCCGGAGAGTTGGGGGGCCAGAACTCCTTGGTCCACGTCAGGTGCATGTTCTGCCGGCACCACTCCTGCGTCTTCTTTGCTGCGTGTGCGGGTGCTGAGTCTTGCTGGAAGACATATCCAGCTCCTCTCGTGACTTCCTTGATCCAGGGCAGGATCAAGGAAGTCACGAGACTTCCTTGATCCTGAGAGACTTCCTTTCGTGACTTCCTCCTCGATCAGAGCCTGGAGTTGCTGCAGAAACGCCGGCGTTCTCTTCTTCCCAGGCCCTGATTTACGCTTTTTACGCTCGGGAGTCACCTCTCCTTCATCCTCGCCATCTCCACCGCCCTCCTGCGCCCGCACACGCTTGGCAATGCGGTACACCGTGCTCCGTGGGACACGCAGGAACTCGCTGATCTCCGCCGGGCTCCTCCCTGCGCGCAGCGCCTGGAGCACGGCGGCTCGGCGATCGTACTCGGCTCCGCGACCAGACATGATTTGACCTGACCTTGGGTCACCCTCGCTTTTATAGCATCTGAGGGCCGTGCCAGCGATGCGACCAATCAGATTGCGGTTATAGCCGAGGCGTACAACCGCGTAGAAACTTGTCTCAATTTGTCCATCCCACCCTGTATATGTGGCCTTAGCATTCCATGACCGATGTTCGCAGGATATGGATGGAAAGCTGAAGAATAATCTTCAACAGTTCCTAGATGCCCTTGGCAGAGTGGACGCGAGAGAACTTAACAGGTAAGTTGTCACTGTACGGTGTATGTCTTGTCTAGCTGGAAGATGGAAAACACAACAATGGTATAAACTGTAATCCTTGCTTAACTGGTTACTTGTTTTATGAGGATCTGAAGCTTTAAGCAATTCTGCAATTCAACGTTTCGTGGATATGACAGCTGGCTGCAGCTCTCAGTATGGGCCTCCTAAACATTACCTATGCACATTTCAATGCATAGTTATGACTAAAATGAATTGAAGATGCCTCGTTTCTGCGCACTCCACCAGCACTGATTCGCCGGGTCCACTGCACACTCCTTCATACTCGCCTGTCCACAGTGACATGTTTACAGGCCTCGCCTTAGCTGTCACGTGTCACTCAATCAATCGATGGCGTTTTGCGTGTGCCACTGAGTCAGATGCTGACGATAGGGGGCCGGAGAGGGGGAGGGGGAGGGGTAGAGGGGTTCAGGGTCCGCCGGGCCGAGTGTCAGCACCTGTAGAAACACCTGGGTGGCCCGGTCGGACCGGCCCGGAGCCGGGTACAGTTATAGAGGATCCCGCGCCGCGCCAGCCGCAGCGATGGTGACAGCGCTGTGCGATCACAGTGAGGTGGCGGGCAGGAGACGGGCCGTCGGGCTGCTGTGACCCGCAGTGAGTGATTGTGGTGGTGGGAGGAGTACACTATGCAGTGTGGTGTAGTGGTCTGATATGCTGGACGATTCAAGGAGCTGTGGTCGAACGAGAGTGGCTACGGACAAAATGCTGGTGGCAGTCTGCTTGGCACCTGTGGACTATTGAAGCATCATTCGAAGCAGCTCAACAGGCACCTTTCTGTTTAGTGTGTACTGTGTTGCGGCTCGTATCTTCAAGGATTCCACTTATATCGCGTTTGTCCATTCCATTAGTTCAGCGGACCTTATCGTCCTCAAATATTACCAAAGTCACTAATAACTATTATCAAGATACCCGTTTCACCAACTCAGCATTTCATAATTTCACATTGACGTGTCCATTTTTCCTTCCAGCGATCGATTTTGGAGCTGCCTCGGCCGTTCAGCCGCAGGCGAGTCGTCGAGCACCTCAACCTCTAGTGACAGTGAAGACACCTGGCAGGCAGAGGTCAAAGCTCCTATCGAGGCAGAGGTCAAGGTCGCTGACACTGCCCCTGTCGAATCCACCGTCTCAGGGAGCCGTCGATCGCTCGGCGGTCCTGAAGCCACCGCTCTCGGTGACAGTGCAGTCGATAGTGACATATTGCGCGACTTGGAGAGTCAGATCGAGGGCTGCGCCGTACAGAGACCTGTCTCAGTGAGACACTCTGCCCCCGAGGCGGGGCCAGTGACACCTGTTCCCGGTCAGTCAGCTGCTAAACGGTCTGAGTCAGTCCCCGCTGCATCTGTCCCGAGCATGGGTAACTGCCGCTCCCGACACACACAGACTGACCTTCTGGTGAGCCTGCGCGGCCGCCGGAACGGCAAGATGAAGCTCTATCACCTCAGTCGGAGCACGATGGACCTGTTCCGCGGCGGTGACAGCAAGGTGACGCCCGTCCAGCCACCGGGCGGCGACCAGCCCGACCTGGCGGACGTCATGAGTGACCCTGACTTTGAGCTGACGGACGAGGAGATCGCCCAGTTCCGGCGGCCACGGCCCTTCCCGCAGTCGTCGCTCACCGGGACCATGTTCGCCATCCCCGTGCAGCCGACACACGAGTTCCGCGCGCGGCCGTTCCCCCGCTCCTCGCTGCCGCCGGAGCGGCCCAGCGTGTCGGGCGCCTCCTCTCCAGAGCCGGCCGGCCGCCGCCGGGAGGACGACACCTCCGGACTGTCGTCGGTGACACCGTCACTGACCTCAGTGGCCACCGACTGCTCCGTGGCCTCGTCACTGCTCTCCGGCCCGCTGTCCAGTCTGGAGGCGCGACCGGTCAGCGGTGGGGGCGGTATTCCCCCTCCCCCGCCCCTACCAGGGCAGGGGATTCCCCCTCCCCCTCCTTTACCAGGGCAGGGGATTCCCCCTCCCCCGCCCTTACCCGGGCAGGGAATCCCTCCTCCTCCCCCTTTGCCGGGTCAGGGAATCCCTCCTCCCCCACCTCTCCCCGGTCAAGGGATCCCTCCTCCCCCTCCTTTGCCCGGTCAAGGGATCCCTCATCCCCCTCCGCTCCCCGGCGGGATTCCTCCTCCCCCGCCCCTCCCCGGCGGGATCCCTCCCCCTCCCCCTCCGCCTGGATCAGGGCCGCCGCCTCCCCCACCGATGCCAGGCTGTATCCAGGCACGGACAGCTTACACTCTAAGCGCCGCACCGCCAGTGAATCCATTCGCCACGCTGCCCAAACCAAAGGCCAAGATGAAAACGCTCAACTGGGCCAAAGTGCCGAACAGAACCATAGGTGAGTGAACGCTTTGATGCCTGTGTTATATGCACAAACGATGTTTGCCATTGACCAGGTAGTGTAGTAACTAGTAAGTGTTTGCTATTAACAGTGATGACTCGGTAATGGGTGGAAGAGTATCTTATGTTTCATTTGTGTTAATTACAGGCAATGTCAGAACACATTAGCATCATGCGGTAAGCATAGTGAGATGTAGCGATTATATTTTCTTTCTTTGGGGACGTTTTAGACATTGTGTGGTCTTTTAATGTGAATCCGTTAGCATGAAACCTCATGGAACACATGCTCGTTTACAAACATTTAGCGGGCAACACAATCCATGTAGTGAATCCCCAAGTAATCTCTATAACGGACGAGCTTACATTGAGATTGACGTTAATTTTAATATGGTTGTATTTTTACCGGTCTGTTTTACTTTGATATTTAAGTCACGATCACCCCTTCGCATCGTGCACTGCCAGCGCCGCCAGCCCCACGTTTCGGCGGCTGCACACTCTGGGAAAGCTCTGGCGAGCTCGGCGAGCTCCTGTATGCAGAAACGGTGCGCTGGCTTTGGCCTGTGCTTTACTTCGCCAGCGGCTGGTCCGCGGCAGCCAGACTCCCGGCTGTATGGCGGAGTTCGAATTGGATTACGCTCGCAAAAACGTTCAAAATATGGTCGGCTCTGGTCTGGCAGACTTGTGCGGAGCGATATTGTCCGAGCTTTAGCGGTTAGAACGGAGAAATCTTATAAGCTGAAGTCTTGTGAGTTCCATATCTTAGTCTAATTTATCTTAGCGATATCGTCTCTGTGTAACGCTGTGTTCACTGCACGTTTCCTCGTACTTCCCGTGGCCTTCTCTGACATTGCGCAGGTAACTCGATGTGGCAGACGGTACCCAAGGATCTGCTGTCGCCCGTGCCCGTCGATTACGACAGTCTGGAGTCGCTGTTTGCACAAAAGGTGACACAACGTTCTGCCAAGACCACCGTCGAAAAGAAAAAGTCAGTTGAGGAGGTCAACCTGCTCGACGGCAAGCGGTCTCTCAACATCAACATCGGCCTGAAGCAGCTGCGCAAGACGAATGAAGAGATTACTGAGCTAATCAAAAGGGGCAAGGCGGCTGACGTTGGGACAGAGCAGCTCCGTGCCCTCATGAGGATCATGCCTGAGGAGGGAGAGGTTCGTGACGGGGAAATTTGGAGGAGGTTTTTGGTCCGTGACTAGGAATATTTAAGGAGGGCTCAGGACTAAGTTTGAGACATTTGGTAGAATTTAGGTTCATGGGAGGGAGGGTTGGTGAATATGAAGGATGTGATCGTGGACGCGTAGACTATTTATTCCGCGAGTATACCTTTGGGTAATGTTATTGCTCGGGAAATGTTGTAAGAGCATCACTTTGTGTTACCAACTTTCCTATCCAAGGGGGAAAATTTTGCGATGAATTGAATCAGAGAAAAAGGCTACATTACATAAGAAAACGTCATGCTCTGGCCTCTGTCTGTTGTACCCCCCCCCCCCCCGCTTGACTTTCTGACCGGCGTTTCCCGTGTATTCCGCCAGGTGGCGATGGTGACGTCCTACGAGGGCCCGCCGGAGCAGCTGGGCGAGGCCGAACAGTACTACCTGGCCCTTTCCAAGGTGCCCTCCTTCCAGCTCAGGGTCGAACTGATGCTGCTGGTGAGCAACCCTGACCTAGTCACTTCTCGAGCTCTTAACGCTCTCATCGTGGGATATGGGATATTTCTATGTATATTTCTTGAGCTGTTTTGTCGTAGATATGTTCTCCTTATCGATGATGGTTACCAATGCAACAGCATTTCATGCAGATGAATGTGCTATAGTAGTGAGGCATCGTTTTTGGCGTGTTTTTTTTTTCTCCTTTTTGTGCGCTGCCGATTTCGAGTGCTTCCCTCTGAAGCGCCCTTTGAGTATGCGAGATGATCCTTTTTCAAACCGTACGTGTTCGAGACGCGTGAATATGCGTTCTCGACTTGGCTGGATAAAAGGCGAAAGAAGCCGGCCGCTACGCTAATGAGTAAGCCAGTCGCTCAGACGTGTTTGGAGCCGATATAAGACGTTCAGTTCCCGTACGGCAAATCGCAAATGCAACTAAAACGTCTCGAATTCAATAGCATCTCAGCTGGCTTTCGCAGAGTAGGTCTAGGTGCCTACTGCCAAAATTGAGTGCTGAAGAAGATCATGATGCAAATGCAAAGATCATGTGAAGTCCCGTGTTGGGATGTGTGTATGCTGGAAAAAATTAAATCCCATCTTCCTGGACAAGTCAATCATAAACTCAATTGTGGAGCTTTTAGTGATGAAACAAAAAAACTGCGAATGCTCTGCATGAAAGGAGGTACAAATTACTAGTACATTTCAGCAGAGTTACAGCCATTTGGCTGAGTGTTCCTGCCTGGAACAGTACATTCGAGTCAATGAACCGAGAGGCGGCATTGCCCCGAGAGCCTCAACATCCGGCACCTTGGAACAGCTGAGTTGACTGACCACCGTGCTACGGGCTCGCTCAGCCACCGCTCCCCGCATACTATACTGTCTGTCACGCGCCATTGCTGCGATTCAGATGGTTAATTATGCTAAATGTTGAACAGAGCGATTCTAATGCGAGTCGGACGGCTCGTTACGGCCTATTATGAGGATTTCCGAGCGCGGTCCCGGCATTGTGAGGATATTTACCCTCAGCGATGTGTTTAATGTTGGTTGTGCGTTAATTACTGGGCCGCTTGTTTGAGCATTAACGTGTGACGCATAGAACTGCCTACACCCAACGTCTCCCAGCATGCTGATAATGCTCATTAAATGTTGATTTTTTACAGGAAGCTGATTTCAAGCCGTCGATGGATAGTTTGCGTCCGCAAATTAAGGCCCTCGTAACGTCCTGCGAGCAAATTTTAACATCTGAGAGCCTGAAGCAGTTCCTGATCCTGGTTCTTCAGGTCGGAAACTTCCTGAACTCGGTGAGATATATCGTTTGGACTTTGGTGCCTCAGAAGTTGGAGGATATTTGCGTTGTACTCAAGTGGAAACTTGGTTTATAGTGGACTGCTAGGAAGACTTCGTGATATTCTGCGGCCATATTCTGGAAATTAGATTAAAAAAGTTCCAAAGAAGCAGCGTGGTTTGAGTTTCCCTGCTTTTGGAGTAAGATTGAGCTTTGGATGATATGATATGCGGATATCGGTTTGACTTTCTTCTTTTGATCTTCAAAGCGTCTCGTCATCTCGTGTTTTCAATCGTATCTGAGACTCGTTTCTTGTTGTGTATGAACCTCCACATCACTTTATTGCTTTATTTGCGTTAGAAATGTTCTGTGTGATCACATTTGAAGTTACTTTGAAAGCTGCATAAGCTGCAATTCACAGTGCGTTTAATTACCAGGCGCGCATACGTCGTGTGCGGGGTATTCTACTGATAGCACTGACCCACTGCTGATAACCTGTATAGGTAATGTGCCTTCTTCACTGTGCCATTGACGTAGCTCACGGGTTATTGACGTATACTGCATCGCTGATTTATCACGTGTTACTGACTGGTACTGAATCGCTGATTTATCCTGCGTCGCTGATTTGTTCTGCGTCGCTGACTTTAACAGCGTTGCTGACTTATCCTGTGTTACTGACATACTCGTATACTGCGTCGCTGACTTACACTTCGTCTCTGACTTATCCTACCGGTTTCGTTCAGGGAAGCTACGCTGGAAACGCTATGGGCTTCCGTCTGAGCACACTTCCAAAACTAATCGAGACCCGAGCAAATAAGCCTCGCATGACACTTCTCCATTACATCGTCGAAGTAGCCGAGACTCAAAACAAGGTGGCTCTGGAGTTCGCAGAAGACTTCAAACACATCCACGACGCTGCCAAGTAAGTGCACCGTGTGTTCATGACGCCAGTGTTTCAGAATCTGGAATAAAGCAGGCTCCATTTTGTCTCGTATGTGGTGTCCTTGCATATATTCCACCGATTATTGAGTGGGAAGGCCGTGTAACCCCTCGCATAAATGTTTAGCCAGGATGTATTATTCCTGTTATATGACATGCTAGCCTACTTTCTGGCTTAAACATTGCACTACCAAAATGTTTTATGGCAATGTGTTACGCAATAATTTATGCGATGAGATATGTCTGTGTATGACCGGTCATAGACCCCTGTATACCAGTATACATACAGAGGTTTATGGATGCATATTTACGTATGATGCTGGAATTTGATGTGCACTGAGGGCTACAAAATGAAGAGAAACTGACAGTACATGGCGAACGTGGCGTGTCATCCACAGAATCTCCCTGGATGTGCTGATGGCTGACATCAACAACCAGTCACAGACGGTGACACGACTGAAAACCCAGTCAGAGAGCGCGCCAGCGGAGGTGAAGAAACAGTTCAAAGGTGAGGTGACCGTGCGAATCTGTTCAGCGAGGGAGCGGGAGAAGCAGCTGGGGCTTGTATGACTCATGGCAGAAATGAATTTCGACTGCATAGTAGCTTGAAATAAGCCATAAACACTCATTATTAACGTTTTGTTTTCATCAGTATCAGAATGTTGCAAATCATTATTAACTTCGATTGTACAAGGTAAAATATGGTAACTGTTACACGGAACACTCGACTCAATACCAGATAGCTATTTCAATATCCGCTGGGACACTGTAAAACTTCCTCCACTGAGTCGGGTGCTCCGTGTCCCCTGCAGATTTTCTCAGCTCAGCAGAGCGCCAGGTGGCTGACCTGGCCATCCAAATGGCCGAGCTCGGCCGGTGCCAGACGCGACTGGCGCAGCACTTTTGCGAGGAGGAGGATTCGTTCACGGTGGAGAGCTGCCTGAGACTGTTCGACGGGCTCATACGGAAAATCGAGGTCGTCCGGCAGGTGAGAGCGATTTTGATATGAGCTATATAGGAATGAAGGGAAATGTTCTTAATGCTCAAGTCATATCAATTATAGTAGTTACTAGTTTATGTAGATGCTCGACATTAGTACATGTTTTATACGGTATGATTAAAATATTGGCTAAGTATACCGGTATTCCGGTAATAGCTATATTTTCTTAATTGTTAATCGTACTAGAAATACCCGTCACTCTTGATGGGCCTTCTCTAAACTATCTTCCGTTTTCAGGATAACGAGAAGCGACACCAGGACGAGGAGCGTCAGAAGCGCCGGGAGGAGGAAAAAAAGCGCGCCGCCGCCGCCGCCGCCGCAGCCGCCACCCAGGAGAAGGCGCCCTCCTCCTCCAGAGGCAGCAAGGCGCCGTGGCGGGATGAGGCGGACGGCCGCACCAGTCCCAACTCGTCCTCTTCCGAGCTGGAAGACGGTCTGGTCGACACCCTCCTCGCCGGGATCAGACGGGGAGAGTTCCGTTCGGTCCGACGTCGCAAGGAGAAGACCGACGAGCCCGCTTCGCCGACCGACCCGGTGGTTAAAGAGAAACGGCGTCGCCATCGACGTAGAGAGCCCATGTTTCTGCTGGGTAGAGAGAGGGAGAGACCCAACGGTAACGAGCTGCGGTGAGTGCGGTGGACGCCGTGAGACCCAGACAGGGATGCTACGGTGCTAGGCAGGGGATGTACGGGTGTCGTGTGCAGGATAGCCCGGCGTTGGGTAACGACTATAACGTGGTTGAAAACTGTGCCTTGAGCTTGTGTTCTTTGTTAGATAGGTGCCGTCCAAGCGCGTTACGGTGCTTCCTGAGCAGTGATCATGGCATTAGTACTATTGCTGATGTAAACGTTGAATCTGAAGCGTGAAACTCAGTGTTTTGAAGAAGCTCGGGGATGGCTGTGTTTTAGCTAAGCGCGACCGTGCATATAAGCATCTTTTCATGAACAGTACCCTGGCCAACAGTGTGACTGCGTACATAGCATGTTTGAGACAATCGTCCTCCCTTTCTGCCGATCCTGCGGAATGCACAGGTCGCTGCGGGAGACGTACTGTATTGTTTGTAGCTATAACTATTTTCTTACATGTTTACCGTAGAGAATCGTTTTACTCAGCAATATGAAGGCGGTAAGCTGGACAGGACTGCTGAGACGTTGCACATTTCAGTGTCAATCAAGGCTTCATATAGCGTCATAATATTGCATGCAGAACTATGTATGTGTACCATCGACCACATTACCGTGCCTGTGTTCTGAATTGTGATGACTGAAAGACAATAAAGATGACGCTACAATATTCAGACGCATTCTATGTAGAGCATGTTTGGGTCAGCGAGTCGCTCTCAACCGTTTTCAAACGTCAACAATTTTCACTCGTAACTACAATTATTTATTCTTTTTTACGGTGAAGTCACCCAAGAACAGCTTCAGTCCACGAATAAGGGACAACAGATGCACATTATGCGCTTACATTTGCGCGACAGACACACAGAGGGCTTAAACATTCCAGATTTGATACAAACTCACGTTGCACAAACGGCAATATAGCATCCATTAAATGCGAGCACACCCGTTTTCGCGCACGTATTCGAGTCGGCAACATTGCCGACGACGTCTATGTACAAATCCCGTAGGAAACACGTACCGCACTACATTTGAAACACACCGGAGTTCCTGTCGGAACTGCCACCGGCACGGATTCCGTGCAGGTACGACAACTGCCGGGTTTTCTGAACGATACCCAGTCCCCTGGTGTCGGCACTCTCCCCATTGCCGGCGCTAGAGGACGGAGATCGAACCAGCGAACCCAGCGAGCCACTGAACACAGCGAGCCAGTGAACCCAGCGAGCCACTCCCGGCGAACCAGTTAACCCAGCGAGCCAGTGAACCCGGCGAATTAGTGAACCCAGCGAGCCACTCCCGGCGAGCCAGTGAACCCAGCGAGCTACTGAACCCCGGCTATAGTTGACAACAAACATACATCGCGCCCACTCATGCACGATGAGTCCTTATATAGGAGCAATGCGTTACTGATCCAGCCTTCGACACGTTGAGGTACGACGTAAACAACAGGCTGACGTGATAGCCATGTCCACCAGAAGCCTGGTGACATTCGACAGTTAACGGGGAGCTCCAGTCATTATGAGGTACGACTACGATCCACATCGATCCACATTGTACGATCCACAAACGATTACACGTTCCTTGCATGTCGCTTCATACATACAGTGAGCCGCGTCTCTGAACATACCGAGATTGCTTGTGTATGCTTTTCGGAGACTTCCATGGTATGACCTCTGTGGGCTTGAGCTGTCAGGATAAACTTTCCGACTAGTGTTACATGCAGTGATCAAAGTTATCTGGAGCCGAAAGTTTTGTGATTTGAGCTGACAAAACATGTTAATTATGTCCATTTTGAGTAGTCTGCTACGCATCATATACATGATCTGCAATGAGCTTCATTAGCTATCAAATTTAGTTAGTTTGTTTTGTTTCCCCCATGAACGTGTGCGTTAAAATACGATGTTTTGGCTCGACAGTGTCCCATTCACCATACTTCTTTTCTATTAGCTCAAAGCAGGCAAAAACCGAGCGTTTTTTTCAGTGGAAAAGAACGGTGCGAAGCTGCCAAAGAGGCTGAGGAGCCACAGCACACGACCGCGCCTTAATGGGATGTCTCCGTCCCGACTCGGCTGTGAACGGCCACTCTGGACGAGGCTCATGAATATCAAAAGTCGCACAACAATGAGACCCCTCCAAAGTGCCCACTAAAGTAACTCCCACCAGAAAGCTCGAGTGACTCCTATATGCGGCGAAAATAAGCTGAAGTGCCGCCAGCTTTGAGAAAAAGGCAGCATGACATTCTTTGCAGCGTTTACTGCATAACTAGCACATACTACTTCACCAACATGCTGTCCATATGTGACTAGCCTCAATATGCAACATTATGTAACAATGTGTGACTAGCCTACTCCCTAATAATGGGGTTTTAGAGCGACATGTTATGTCAGATATGCCATTAATATTTCTGTCACCATATTTGAAAACTGGAGCCAGGACGGTGTAACGCTGTCGTTAACGGCACTTATTGAAACGCTTTTGCTCGGGTCTAACTAGGAGATCCATCAGTCAATGTTGTATGACATTGCGTGCCAGCGTGGGTATTAAGGTTAAACAAACGAAGAGTGCCGCCAAAACTAAAGCATTGCACTCGAACTCTACCGGTTTTGAATCTAATGAATCCTCACTGTATGTACGATTTGAAATGTGACAATAGAAAACTGGTCCCGGGGAACATTTTGACGCAAATTTCTATGAAATTTATACTGCTAGTTTACTGTCCAGCCATTTCCACTTTACAAAGTTTACGTGTCAATTTGCTGTTGTCATTGAAGAGCCAATTTTTCAACAAATTATTGCCCCTTAAACTCAGTCGCACGCACTAATGAATTGTTGTCCATTGAGCAGACCATAAATGAGCGCTTACGGTCACCAATGGTTACGGTTGTCTAGATATTGACGCTTTGTCTGACAACTTGAAGCCATTTGTGATCATATGGTATAATCCTTCTACTTGTCCTCCTGGGCACGTGTCGTAACAATATGTCTGAGCATAAATGCGCAAACTAAAAGATGCATATTACAACTTCCAAGTATTAGTCATGCTACAGTATAACTGTGAGTTCATAAATATTGACGAACATTTGCATATGCATATGAAGTTCGAAACAATTCAATATGCATTCATATTTAGACGGATGTAATATGTTGCTAAATACATCACCTTTGACTGTGAATCCTCACAATATGGCTGTTTCGCTTCCACTATACTTTTCAGGTCACATGCAATCCCATTTACCAACTGTTTGTGTATCCTAGACCCGAGATATCAGGTTGTTAGACCGTTCACAGTAATTTGCTCGTTTGTCACAGGCAGAGAGCTTTGCACCCGGATCTTCGTAAGTTTTCTTTTAAATATAAACTCCAAACGACGCATCCCACAATCGATCAACAGCTACATCACACGCACTTCTCGCACTCATTCCCCGACTTCATCTCAGCACTCTATCCCCACCGCCAACGCTCACACTCTGGTCTCGGAGGTGTAACCGTTCACAGTGAGCGCCGTTCTCTCGGCTGTCGCTGCCGGCGGCTGCAGCAGGGCACGTCCATTAGCGGCCTGGGCCGGCGCTGGTGAAGGGACCGAGTCCTTCACCAGTAGCGGGCTGCGGCTGGCGGCGCGGCGCGCAGAGCCCAGCGAGCCTGCCGTGCGGCCGGCCACCAGCGTCTCCTTGGTCGAGTTGGTGTTGATGAGCTGGTGGGACGCCGGCGGCAGCGAGTGGTTGGTGCTGTAGTGGAAACTCTGGCGGCGTCTCCCGCACAGTGTGTCCTGATGGACAAGAACGGAGCCGGTGAGACGGTAATAAGGCGGCGGGTTCCTCAGGTTTGTAAGGTTTGATTACGTCATCGATGATAGGAAACGAAATATACCTGCATAGACCGATATTTTCTTTTTATTTTAGTATCATTCTTTTTCACTTTTCTTCCCCTTTTTCTCTCTTTCTCTTTCTCTTTCTCTTGCTTACTCACTCTCTCTCTCTCTTTCCCTCCCTCTATCCCTCTCTCCCTCCCTTCCTCTCTCTTTCTCTTTCTCTCTCTTTCTCTTTACTCTCTCTCTCTCTCCACCACCCTCTCCCTTTTTCTCTCTTTCTCTCCCTCTCCTTTTCCATAGCCCTCCTCCTCCCTCTCCCTCCCCACCGTCCGTTGACGTTCTGTCTGCGGCTGATAAGACCGTTTCTCAGTGTCCGTTGGACGTGCTGTTGTTTTTTTCCGCAGCCGCCGGCTGGTCGGCTGGTGTCTGGCCGCCCCTCTCTCGGCTCGGTAGCGGCCACCCTACGGTCATCAGCACCAGAAGCCTTGCCCTGAGGCGCTCTATTCTGGACACGAGCGCGTCCGCCGCCGCAGACGACCAATAGGTCGGCGCTGGACAAACGAGCTACGTCGGTAAACAGCTCCGTAAACGTGCCCGCCTGAGGCTGTCGTCTCCCCTGACGAGGAGACTCTCTAAGCCTCGGACCCCTCAGGCTGGACATGGCTGGGAGCCGCTCGTCTAGTCTGGTCTGTCGACTTCCAAATTTGATATGAAGTGGCATGGGCTGACACCGACGAGGTGTGAAAGATAAGCAGCCGAGTAAAAATCCTCTGACGGTTTGACGGCGACAAAGAGCCTTCGCGCTTAGATGACTTGGTCGCAAAAAATTTCGTCTATCGAAGCCTTCCTCTTTCGAGGAAACTGCGCTTAACGCCACTGTCTCTCTATTGAAATCTCTCCGAAAGAAAATTAAAATATACAAAGAATAAGATCTTTCACTGCCTGTTTAGCTGCAGAGCATGCTGCCTGTTTTCCTTGCGATGCATGATATGTGACGCTTGTAGAATATTGTTGATGTTCCTTATGAGAAGCTGGATATCGCATGCATTACGCGGGCCCAGCCCCAGACCATGATACTGTGCCGCAATACACCGTAGTTTCCAATCCACCCAACAGATGTCTCCCTAGTCAACGCCTGCCGCATGCTGTGCCGCATAGCATAATGGTTACCATACTCGCCGCTAGATGTCACTACGCTCTGACACCTGGCTGCCGCATGGTATTAAGTACAGTTCGTGAGCCTAAATTAACCGCACAATATTGACCGAAGTCTGCCGCTTCGTTCGGGCGTTACAGAAGCGAATTTCTCGCCCAAGTTATGATTCTTCGAGTATGTCACCGAAAATATCGCCGAAGCGGACGACTCTCTGAGATGCGGATTGCGGATTGCGGGCGACTTCTTGAGATGATATCCGCACATTGCGTACAGAGAAGTGTCACTTAACCTTTAAAACCAGCAATCAATTGAAACTGCTTTGCAACTTCGAGACAAAGTTATTGATATAATGTCTGACAAGTGACATATAGGTATTTACTTGATCGGAACATATGTGTAATGCGTACTTATTTTTACAGTCAGTCACTCATTCTTATTATTGATGACAGATTCTCTCAACGCCCATAAAGCTCATCGTTGAAGCATTTTGAGCCTGCAAGTGCTAACTTACCAACAAAAAGGCTGTTGACTGACCTTGAACGCCTGCCGATATTTGGCCGACATGACGTTGTAGAGGATGGGGTTGATGGTGGCCGAGAAGTAGTAGAAGCAGCCGGTGATGTAGTACATGTACTCGTTGATCTCCCGATAGTTGGGCAGCTGCTTCCCGTAAATATACAGCAGCCGCTGGGCGTGGTGGGGCGCGAAA